ATGTACATGTATAGCAACATGTACATTGAACTGTCAAATAATCTTCTTGTACATCGTTGGTGCTCATATTAAATTCATATTACACCAGAAGAGGGAATCTTCTTAAAAGAGGCACAATTCCCAATTTCACTATGAAAATGAATGTACATGTCTACAATACATATGAATATGTGGTATGTAATTACTATTGTATAATACATTTTACAAGCATCTTTACATTAAATCCCTTATATTTACATCTTAAATGATAGAAATTGAACCCCTAGAACATGTACATGTACATGTACAATCCTTAAATGTATTTCTTTCAACAGCACTCCCTCCTGGCAAACATCAACAATATTCGGGTCTGTTGACAGCAAAATTCAGTATTTGGGGACTTTTTTCTTGTTGACTTTGTGACCTGGAAAGTGGATATGTATATCACGATATGTAATCACATTGTGGCACATGTATTGTATCCCAACTACAATTGCAATACCCAGCAAAAGTTATATGCATGTACATGTACAGTACATGTTAGACACAAAATTAAGACAAATCACCAAGATCTTAAGTGTTTCTGAAAACTATGACATAATTCAATTTGTAATTATTACAATAAGCTTACATACACATGTAAAGTCATTTTATAATAATATTCAATGCTGGGTATCTCTAAATTACCTCACTGTTAAAATTTGATAAAATTATTGTTGTGTGAAAAGAATAAAACTATGTCTAGGTATTTCAGTCATCACAATTCGGATTTTTACATGTAGGTACACTGTTATAATTAGTACATGTACCTCGTGTATCAATCTGATAAAAATACAGATGTATATATTTTGTTTTGTTTTTTTTATACGCCCACATTTTCATGTGGACATATATTGTCGTTGCCCCTATCTTTCTGTCTGGAGCGTCCTTCCACAATCCGATTTTGACGAAACTCTAAATATAGGTTTATATCTAAAAGATCTTGGTTCCTTTCAATATTGGCATAAATCAGACCATAACTTCTTGGATTATGGCCCCGGATTGTAAGAAAAGCATGTTTTTAACTTGCGGACACTCTAGAGGTTACAATTTTGATCCGATTTTGATAAAATGTATGTTTATTACCCAAAGATCTCGGTTCCTTTAGATGTTCGTGCATATTGGACTGTAAATTCTTGGATTATGGCCCTTGATTGTACGAAAAAAATCACCTTTTTAGCTTGTGGTCCCTGTAGAGGCCACAATTTTGATCCGATTTAAAAAAAAACGTTACACCATAATAATAGATGAGTTCAAATTGCCACCACCGCTCGTACGCAGATAGTGTGTATATCAAGGTTGTGGACCCGCTGGAGGTCACAGTTGTGATCCAATTGATGAAACTTAAAATACCTATTTATAAACCAAAGATCTTGGTTTCTGTTGATATTCATGCATATATGATCGTAACTTCCAGAATTATAGCCCTTGATTTTACGAAAAATCACATTTTTAGCTTGTGGTCCCACTAGAGGTCATAATTTTTGCCCGATTTAAAAAACGTTTGAATACAATATACATCTCCGTTGCACCCTACTGATGGTTGAGTTTAAATTTCGTGAAAACCAGACCAAAACTGCTGGACAAAATGACCGCCCGTCCGACACCAATAGTGCAAATACATGTACATAATTTTGATCCAATTTGATGAAACTTTAAATTTATTTTTATATCACAAAGATCTTTGTTCCTTTTGATAATCGCGCATATCCAAATGTAACTTCCTGAATGATGTATGGCCCTTGAAAAATCGCATTTTTAGCTTGTGGACCTACTAGAAGTCACTATTTATATTCAATTTTAAAAAAAAGTTTAAATAGATCACTGTTACACATCAATGGGGGTGGGGGGGGGGCTGAATGGTTAGCATGTGCGAGTTGTATCATAAGGTCTGTCATTGAGTCAAGTGGCATGGTTTTGATTCCACGGTTGTACATGACAAGGAGTAGGGTCGTCTGTCCAACCTCGTGGGTTTTCTCTGGGTCCTCCGGTTCCCTCCCACTGCTAAAGACTCCTACGCGCAAGCGAATTATTGAAATAAAATTGAACCATACGTTTGTCTCGAAATGACCTAGTTTGTGTCGAGTAGACGTTAAACCCCATTTCTCTTTCATCAATGAAGGTTGAGTTCGAATTTTGTAAAAAACTGACCCGAGGTTGTGGACCCTCTAGAAGTCACAATTTTAATCACAATATATCTTTTATATCCAAATACCACAGCCCCTTTCGATATTCGCACATTTCAGACCATAACTTCCTGGATTATGGCTCTTGATTGTACGAGAAATTGTTTTGTTTTTTTAGCTTGTTCTCTATCCATCTCCTGAAAAATGTGGGTGTATCTTGTCTGGCAACCGCTGGTTTATACTTTCGATGGCCTACACTACATGTACATGAAGATCTGACCGGTTGTACCTCTTTTCGAAAGCAAATATTATTTTTTTAAAATCTGACATACATGTAAGAGTCAATTATTATTGGATTGTCATACAAGTGACAATCAGTTTTTTCTGTCATTCAAAGGGCAATCAAAGTGGTTACTTCTGTAATCCGATTTCAATATTTTGTTGATAACGGAAGTGATGTCAATGTGTCGAGTCTTTGTTACAAATAGTGAAGAGTGGAACACAGAAGAAATCTTAATCTTATCATACCGAACAGTTTTTCTGTATTTTCGAGTGATATAATATCACGTGATTCTGGAACGGTGGCCATTTTAACTGAACAAAAATTTCGCATTGCAGTTGGGTCAAATCAAATCATTTAATTATGCGGTAAGGATTCACCTTTATTTCAATGGGAATTGGTTTATTATATGTTAAGCTATGTGCAGAACAGTTTGGGGTCAGTGTAATCGAAAATTTAGGGAGTTATAGGCCAGTAACTTTTTTGTAGTCAAATGACTACAAAACTTGCGCAAAGGAAGGCCTTAGGACGGTCCACTACTGTGGCTGGGATAAGACGTAAGACATCAGTAGTGGAACCATTTCTACATGAACTGTAGAAAATCTATCATGGGTGCCAAGTTATGGTGAATTGGATGAATGGCTGTATTATAAAATGTAGATACATGTACTACCGGGCCAGGTCATACCATCAATTTTTTTTTGATAACATTCATTAAAAATTGGTAATAGAAGTGTCATCTGTGAATAAGTGAAATATTTAAAACATTTCTCAGGTTGTCATTCACCTATTGTAAAAAAAAAATAATAATAATGCATTAAAACAAATGATAATATTATTCTTGGACTTGACACATCCCACAGCATGAACCTCTTTTCCTGTTTTTCCATGGCCTTTAAGTGTTGGGGAATTCGAGAAAATATGTTGTTTATAAATTTGATACCCACATGTACATGTAGGTCTACATGTATAGATCAAATTTATTTGTTTAAAATATTGGTCTTTAAAGATCTTTTCTTTGGAGCAAAATTTAGTCCTCTATTTAAAGTTTTGAACCACAACACTTTTTTTATATACATGTTCTGAAAGTATATTATATCTTATGAACAGGAAAAATTAATTATAGGCTCACAATGCATACATGTAATAACTTAAATAAGCTTATAATAATTTAAATAAGTTAATGGTTACACACTGTTTGGCCACTTTGATTTTCCCATGAAACACTTCCAAGTGAATGAAATTGTAATGGTTAAGGAGGTTTGTTACAGCTTTCTTTCAAGTAACGGTACATCACAATTAAATTTACCATACATGATGTTGGGTGACAGATTGAATGAGGATTTAGGCTTGTAAACATTACCTGTCAATGATTTATCTTTAACATCAAGTATAGTGTCTGGGATTTGTTATATATTTAAAAAGGTTTTATTAAGTTTAAAGGGGAAGTGCCAGTTTTCACAGGCTATAGGTTGATGCAAGTCGGCAAATCTTTTTACCCTGTCTGATAACTTTGGAACAAAATATTTATATTCAAATATTATTTAAGTTTGATGTGTGACCTGATACATGTGACAATACTATTGAAGCTAGCTTTATGGTATGATAATTCAGATACATGTACTACTGATTTTGTTAGGATGGAATTTGTATTTTTGTATCAATTCCAGATAGTTGCAGTGGGTTAGGATAAACCTTTCCATAAGCCTTTCACACCGAAATATAACTAGTAGTAGTGGTACTGCTACCTGTACATGTATGTAGTTATTTCGAAGTGTCCGGGTTCATCAATAGCTGTTTTGATGGCTATTATTGAGGACTGATGGCTAGGGGAGAATCAGAAACGGTAATGGCGACAGCAGGAAGAAAACAATCAAACAGAAGGCATAATTCAATAATCCTAAACAAATCGAACGAGTATTGTTCAATGTCCGCCATTTTGATTACTGGTATATATATAGAAACCATAAAAAAACCTGCTGATTTGTATTTGAAGACAAATAATTTAATCTTTTGTTTCTTCATTAGTTTATTACTATTCCTTACTGTAAATACTTATCAACACTAATCCCAGATAGATTAATAGACAAAAGATAGCCCTATTATTAATACCTAATTGATTGATAACTGACGCAGCCAAACGCAATAGACTGTAACGGATGCACATTGTGAAAATCAAAGCTTTGTGGGAAGAAAAAATAATCGCCATACAGGAAAAAGATATCGCTAAAAATTTCACCAGATTGAATATTTTATAACCAAAATTATATTTTTATCGCAATTGGGAATCAAACAATGAATTAGAATACTTGAATACTGGTAGTAAAATCAGTATTCAAAGTATCTTTTTTATGCAGAGTTTCAGTACTGGGACTCCAAATATATGGAGCAGAACAGTAGTACGTTAAACCCCATTTCATTTCTAAATATCAGAGACCAAGAAAAGGAAAAAATTCAGACTGTACATACAACTGAATGGTATTATTTTTACTAACTTGTTAACTATATTACAGTTGTATGTGTGTCATATTATTATTGTGACATATTATAACAATATTATTTATTATATTTGACAGATGTGAGCCCAGCAGAACAACAGGAGTTGTTTATTAAGAAGTTACAGCAATGTTGTGTTGTATTTGATTTTATGGATCCTGTGTCCGATTTGAAGAGTAAGGAAATTAAACGAGCATGTTTAAACGAGTTAGTGGATTATATCACAGCTACCAGAAATGTTCTCACAGAGCCAACATATCCTGAAACAGTTAGATTGGTAAGATATATTTCATAGTTTTAAAAGCAAAATAATATGGTTAGAAACATCAAAATCAAATCGGCAATGTCTTTTTTTCTGGCTTAATTTTGATATAAAGTAAATTGGTATATTTCATCAATTCTTTATGTAGTCATGAGGATCTACCTGTGACTACCAGTTTTAGAACACAAAACATCTTCAGTAGATTGGGGGAGGGTTTGCAAGTGGTTTAATGGTGTGCTTTACATACTACAGTTTATGGCACTTTACGACAATTCAAGTTATGTATACAATATACATGTACATGCAGTTGGGGCATTCACACTTGCCTTTTAACCGTTACCTTACATGTACATGTAAATATGTCATATTTGTAGAATAAAATAAAATACTTACATATTGGCCCTTTTGCATGATTTTTATTTGCCCAAACTCAACTGAATGGCTCAGACATTACATAAATAACCTTTTTAGTCCTTATTTGTATAAAATATGTACATGTATATGTACAGAAACAGTTTTATTGGATATCTGTTATGTCACATTACTACAGGTTAATACATGTACTTTTGTTGTTAATTTTGGTGTAATTTAGACAACTGAAGTCTGAAGCTTTGAAAAATCTTCAAATTAACAATTTTCATATTCTTCTCTATGTAATAATGAACATTAACCACAAAAAACTATGTGATCATCGTGATTTTATTAAGAACACCTATGCAAAAAATATATTACTTGAGAATTTTGTATTTGTGATATAAATTATGGATTGATGATGCAAAGCAGCGATTTCTATTTATGGCTAAAGGTCAGGTTGACTAATTCAGACAAATGTGGGTTAATACTTGATATTAAGCACCATTCTATAGATTCTTAATATAGAAATATCTGTATTAACTGTAGGATTCATATTCTGAAAATACACGTTTGTTTATTCTGTCAGCATTTATTCTAATGAGAGAAATCTTAATATATTTAGAGGTAGAGACAGTGTTTTTTTTCCAGCTGAAAATCATTCTCTTGTTATTTATCAAATCTCTTACCATATCCAAACTGGAAGATTAAGTTTTATAAGCCCACATTGAAATGTGGTCGTATATTTCTGTCAGTCCGGCGTCAATGATTGCTTGTGGATGCTCTAGCGACAAAAGTTAATATCCAATTGACTTTAAATTTATAGGTCGTTAAGGTCATGAGACAAAGAATGCTTATTAATTTTCAATGATTTCTGATAATTACTGCCAGAATTATGGCCCTTTGATCACTTTAAAAAATCTTGTTGATGGTTTAGAGGCTTAAGTTAATATCCAATTGACTTTAACTTTATGCACAGTGTTTAATGTCATGAGACGAAGGCCTGTTTATTTTCAAAGATTTCTGATAATTACTGCCAGAGTTGTCCCTTGATATTAAATGTTTTGTATACATGTACAAATGTTAGGATAGGGCAGAACTAGAAGCTAAATAAATTCTAATGTTATCATTACTGAAAAAATATGACTGCCTAGTGCCTGGACGTCTTAGCTGCTGTAGATGTATGTTTTGTTGCCTGGCAACCTATCTTTAACTTTTTCAGATTAGGGAGAGCTAAACAATTAAAAGAATATATTTGAGATTAGACATAAGTTTTAGTTGTAATATTGACAGCTCTATAAGTGTCTTTATCTGTAATATTTTATAACTGCATTGTACTTATAATAGCCTTATAATTATGTGAATAATATACTGTTCAATGATATTGATATTATGATATGTCATGGTATTATTACTCAGTAGCTAGACTACCCATTTGTTTACATTATACATGTACATGCGTGTAGCCCATGTTTTGGGTTTTTTTTCAACCACAACTACATGTACTGCACATTAAAGTCTGCAGAGTTTTTACACAAATATTTTATTGTGATTAATGTGTAGGCCCAAACTGTATTATAATATTAATGCCTGCAGGTTATGAATTGTCCAGAATAAATATACTTTGTACAAATATATAATAATTTCAGATTTGATCAGTCGATTGGCTATTGCTTAGTCTTGACTGCTTGAGTCCAGATAATAGCTTTGACTAAAAAGACATATATTATGTCAGAACTAAATAGTGACAAATTTGTCTACAGTGTCAGATGTCATATGGAGATTTACAGGAAAAGTGACCTCCACCTTATATGTATTTTTGAAATGGGCAGAATTCCTAGTTACATGTACATGTTGATATAACTTCCCATATATGTTATTGTGTGAACTGTTTTCACAGCAAGTCAAACAGTTGCCACATATATTTGTATATATTATACACATGTACTATGGATGTTATTTTGTCAAGACTGAAATATTTGTTGTAGTCAAAGCAGACATTTTATCCTGGAGGAATCATTTCTAATATATGCCCAAGATTGACATTGGCAACTAACTAGTCTTCTTACTGATACATGTATATTATTTTGAAGAAAAAGCAGCAAAGCACTTCAAATGAGTCATTATTCGTTTAATAAGTTTTAAAAAAATCTCTGCACATTTGCTGCAGTGAGTCATTTTTCTTTGCCTGACTTCAGTGAAGTGACAGTTTGCCAGCATTGTCAGTACATACAGGTATTAATCCTATCAGCACATTACATCATTGTACATGTATCTGATATGTGTAAAACCTATATCGACTCATCACCAGATCAAACTTTAAGATATTTTGTGCTTTGTTCCTGAGCAGTTATAAAATACTGAGTTTAGTAGGTATTATTTCTGTGTACATGTACATGTTGTTACAAAATTCTTACCATTATGTGGAATAATGTATCTGACTACATGTAACTAAGACACAATGAAAGGTATTGTGCTTGAGCCTTTTAATTTTGGTAGATGATTAATAATAGGCCTACTCTTGTCACAACTCACAATCCATAAATCTTCTGTTTCTGATTTGTTTCACCCTTTCTAACAGACTTCTGACAGAAAGGCTTCCTAAAATATGTGTGTATACATGTAGTACATGTATGTACCGTATTGAATTGTCCTGATAAGTGATAGTCCTAAAAACTTTTATGAATCAAATATGTGTATCCCATTTGAATAATTTGAAAGCTTTTTTTTTTTTTTTTTTTAAAACAGTCATTCTGAAGATATACATGTAAACCTACATGTATTTAAATGTACATTACGTGTATATTTGTTGAAATAAAAATGGCAAAATGCAGAAAAATCCTATTACTTTACTTGGAGAGAACTGATTTGCCATGTAAATGTACATTGTAGCGTAATTAAATATTTCTGTAGATGGCACATATTAACAATGACAGAAATATTATCTAGGAGGGAGGTAATATTTCTGTAAATGGTAAGAATATTTTTACAATTACAGATACATTGATATTACATACATGTATATACATGTACCTTCAGTCATCCTTGGGGGGGATGGAACTAGATAATTGTCATGTAATATTAGATATTTGAATAGATGGTCAAAGAATGTTATCAATGAGAGTATAAGAGAAACAGGAAAACTAATTGTTTAAGTAATAAGAAGTCATTATTCAAGTCATGTTTCTAAGTATAGGTAAAAAGTTTAGTAGACAATATATATGTGTATATAGTAAAGGAATTTGGCTTATAGTATTCACTCACATGAAAAAGCTTGAGTTTCTGTATTTAGTTATCTATAGTACTGATACTATGAATTATTTAGGTCTAGAGTTGCAGTCAAATGAAGGCATGTACAAAATTGCCATACTGTGGATATGTTGGGTGGGGTCAGATGTTAAAGGGCCATGTACATGTACATACCGGTATACATTATCTACAGTAAACAGAGAAGTACTTGTACTTAATCTACTTTAATAGTATAATATTATTTGGCTGTTACATGTACATTTTTATAGGTTTACCCCTTAAAGACACTTATGTACACTGGACTGTTTTTCATCTGATTAAATCTAACCCAGGAGACTATCTAGTGTTGATATTTTGTTTGTATTTTTTTTAAATAAATGTTTAATAATCAATCTGATAACATATTAGCATGGATTAAGCCACGAAATTAGATATTTTCCAATAAGTGCAAATCACACATCTTTATTTTAAGTGGTCATTACTGGAAAGTCAAGCTGAGAAAGTTAAATATACTTTTCTTCTTAAAGATAGATGAATAAAATTAAGAGAGAGAGAGAGAAATGGGGTTTAACGTCCACTCAACACAAACTAGGTCATTCCGGGACTAACATATGATTTTAATTTTATTTCAATAATTCGCTTGCGCGTAGGGGTCTTTAGCAGTGGGAGGAAACTGGAGGACCCAGAGAAAACCAACGAGGTTGGACAGGCGACCCTACTCCTTCTCACGCACAACTGGGGATTCGAAACCACTAAAATTAAGAGCGATTTTATATATATATATATAATACACTACATATATACATGTTGTAATAATTATAGTTTTCCATGATGTATTGATTTATATTTTTAAAAATAAGACTAAAAATCATCTTGTATTTCTGATTTAATGTTGAGAACTAACTTGTTAGTTGCAAAATGTTTAAGAGTAGGACATTAAACCCCTTTTCATTTCTCAAAATGTTACATAACACCCGTTTATGTGACAGTAATTAATTCTAAATCACAAGACTGAACAACCTGACTTCATGTACAATATAGATGTGGTAGATGTAGGCGTATATGTCTGCTTCTACTACCTTTATATACATTGCAGACTAAGATGTGTTATTCTTGGTTTATATAGGTACACTGTGATGGGTTAACTTGTAGTACACATGGTTATATACTCCTACATTTACATGCTACATGACCTTCTCTTTCCTGTCTATTTCTGTCTACCATACAACTATAGCATGACTAAATTACATACTTTTATGTATGTAGACCATTAGAATAGCAAGAAAAACACAAGTACATGTAGCAACAAAATCTATAATGTTGATTTTATTAAGAGAAAACAACCAAAGAAATTTGTATCAGAAAATCAATCAATAAATGGCATTGTAAATTAAGATTCTACACATTATTGTAAG